CCCACACACACACACACACACACACACACACACACACACACACACACAGAGAGAGAGAGAGAGAGAGAGAGAGAGAGAGAGAGAGAGAGAGAGAAAAGCAAGAGCACGCGCATGGAGACGCGCAGCAGCACGCCCGCACAAAGACCTTGAGTGTTAACGGGCACGACACGATCGCTGGCGATTGAGTAATAAGAGCGACCCGAATTTTTTGGTGTCCAGTATGCTGTTTCCCACCAGCGCTTCGCGGCTACGCGACTGACAGCCGGCCGAGAAAGATAGACACTGGAACAGAAGTCAGTGTACGCACGCAGCCCACTTGAATCGACAGAGGAGTCCGCATACGCTTTAACGGCGGCTTCACGTCCCCGTGCGGTCAGGTGAAGGTTGAGGAGGGGTTGGTCGTCGTCCTGCTTCTACACAGTTTGATCTGAACTCATTCAGATTCCTTTTTTTTGTTTCTTTTTTCTTTTTTTGTCAGATTCCGTTTCTCCATAGTCTTTTCAGTGGGTTTTCTCCTTCATTCCGTTATTGACAGGAAGGGACAAAGCAATCGATCTGGGAGCAGCCCGTCCCCAGAAAAGAGCGAGGCTGAGCGGGCGCGCTGTAACAGATTGTGTGCAATCTTAGGGGGCAGAGATACGCGCTTGGGATGTTGGGAGTGGTTCTCTGCATCGCGCACATTGCATGCCAAGGACGGAGATGGTGAAAAATTGAAGTCTTTTTCGACAGTGGAACGGTTCGATTCCTGTGACGCGCCGGCTTCGCCTTGCGTGTGGAATTCTCGCGTCTCGCTCGAGCGCTCCAATCGAGCGTGTGAAACGGTCATCAAGGGGAACTGGCTTGAGAAGGGTGAATTGTCTGCCGCAGCAGCAGGTAAGAAAGATGTTCTGCCCACACTCAACATTGATGTGCTCTCACAGCTGAGCTGGCGTGCTTATCCAGATTGTTGGTGATTGTGCATTCGTGCTTGTTTTGTGTATGGGCTGTCGATCTCACGTGTTCTCTTCGCTTCTGCCCTCATGCTGAGCTATGTTTGCCAATCAGTCCATCATCTTGTGTGTCCAGGTAGTCCTCTCAGAGGATGGTGCGTGTAGATCGTTCTTACCAGCTCATCCACCTCGGCCCGTGCCCTCTCCCCCTCCCGCAGAGAGAGACAGAGAGAGACAGAGAGAGACACAGAGAGACAGAGAGAGACAGAGAGACACAGACACAGAGAGAGACAGAGACACAGAGAGAGAGAGAGAGAGAGAGAGAGAGAGAGAGAGAGAGAGAGAGAGAGAGA